GGGTTTCCCAGGCGGTATCTCTACTGAAATAGACTTCTCACTCTTCCTTCTGAGGACTGGCTGGTAATTCAAACCCACCAGCCTTCTGGTTAGCAGTAAAATGCCTTAGGCACCACACCACCAGAGTTCCTATGAGTGGTAGAAATGACAACAACAACTGTGTAGAAGAAAAGAATCAGAATGAGCTTGGAAGTACAGGTGTTCAGGGCGTTAGATGCAGCTTCTGCTGAGTTCAACTTTGTTGTTGTTGTTGTTGTTATGTGCCGTCAAGTTGGACCCGACTCATAGCAACCCCTCCTTTTGTTTCTGAGGCAGTATCACTATGGAAGTAGATTGCCCCATCTTCCTTCCGAGGAGTGGCTTTAGCATATGATAAAATAATCATACCGAGGTCACTTCCCCTGAGTGTCCAAGCCAGAAATAGCTGGTAGATGCTATTGATTATCCTGTCATCACAGGATATGTTAATGACCCCAAGGTTAGACCACAGGCAATGCTCAGTTTGATTCTGGGAGCAGAAGGGTCTCTGAGAAGCCAACCCTGGCATTAGGATGGTTAACAGGCTATTTCTGAGTACCACGAATACAGTTGTTTTAACCACAAATGGTTCCATAATTATTGATGGATATCGTAGAGGTTAGCAAATGGCTACATATCTATCAATAGCGATGCACACAAAGATCCCTGACTCCATGCTCACAAAACAATGTATGACATACATCTGAGAAAAACATCCTGGGAGACTGATGACCTTAGCATTGAACCACAAGATGGCCAAAATTCTAGGCATGATATTGGCAGCCAAGTACATGTCCACCACAGACAGGATGCCTAAAAAACGATAACTAGGCTCATTCAGTGTAGCCTCTTGGTTGGTGGTGATAAGGATAAGGATATTATCACCAAGAGCTAAGAGGTAGAGCACAGCCAAGGGGAGGGGTAGCCAGTGTTGCCATTCATGAATGCCTGGGAATCTCATTAAGATGAACTCAGAGACCTGGAACTTAGAGCTGTTGGAATTTCTGAGAGCCTGAAACATTCTTCCCGAAGAAGAAAATTATACAAGGTCCATATTAGTCTTGATGATCACAGTTTTAAAAAATGCAATTATTCACATTCATGATATTAAAAGAAGGATCCCCATTATCTTCATTACAGTCATCACCCTACTAACATTTGTTAGGCATTCCTTGTGAAACAGAAACATTCTATGAGCTCACACAGGTAATCATCACAAATTTTTTTTTTCTTTTTTTTGTTTTGTTTTAGTTTTATTTTGATTTGGGTGAAGATTTACATAGTAAATTCACTTTTCATACAGCAGTTCACATATACTTTGTCTCATGTCATTGACCAAAATTTACAATGCAACAGCTCCCCTCCCACTTCCTCCCCAT